CCTTTTTTTTTTCCTAGTCAAAGCCCGCATATTTTTTTTTTATCGTGCATAGCTACGTCGAGTAAAATTCTCCCACATGTACGTACCATCCTGGATGCTTGTCTAACATCAAATCGCTTTGGCCGCCGAATGTCGAGCGATTTGATTTTGGGGCCTTCGTGGATCTTCATTCGCTGGAATACGTGCACGTGAGTTTAACATTTGTGGCAACGCCACGGCTTCATCTCCCGTTTTCCCGCGTTTTTAAGCGTGGGAAATTCAACGTAATGTGGTGCAGTCAAAAGTGAGATAAAAAAAATGCACCAGTATATTTAGAAACTAACGCCAAGGGAATTAAGAGGCAATCAGTGGTCTCTGAAGTATTACTTTGCCTGTTATGTAAATGATGCAATGAAAACTTAAATGCGCTGATTTGATACTTTTTAATTCCTTGCTATACGCGAGAAATTCACACATTTGATAATGAAATTCAAAATTAACGACGCAGTTTCCTTTGTCCATGCGCACTTTAGCCAAATTTCATTTTCAAATTTCCCAACCGACGTTTAGTTCAGTTTGAGCTAGCGCTGTATCCACTTCGCGTCAGGTTTGCTGATTTTTACTAATGCGAGCGAAGCTTCAAAAGGATACAGCGAGGTTTGTTTAAACATTGAACAAGATTGCCATTTCACGTGAACAAGTTTCTTGAAACCACGAGACTGACAGGTCGCTTGACAAGATGGCAACGTTCCTTCAAACGGTTTGATTCAAGCATTGCTGGGCTCTGTGGTTCTCACCACTTAAGACATTTCAGAACTGTACTGTACTAATCTTTAGTGGCAACCGACAAACAGGATAAACGGTGCTGAACGATGTAGTCCACCTTAATTCCTTCTTCACCGGTGAGACATTTAGATACAGTCACCATGTTGAAGTATGCAGAGACAGATAAGAGAGGCAAGGCAATGGAAAAAGCCCTCTTAGGGGTTAGGTAAGAGTTCTTCATTCTATGTAATCAGCAAATAGATTGAACATGATAATTATCTGGCCAGTAGCATTTCTGGACATTTTACTGGTCATATGATATTTTAAAAGGCCAAACAATCTTTTAAGAAAATAGCTCTAGGTGACTTTCGGGCTCAACAACAGCAAAAACTCGATGTTTAATTTTCCTAGAAAAGCTTCAACACCAGTACCGTGGAACAATGACCTGAAAATTATATTAAAATGCTTGAGTTGGAAATCGAGTGTATGGAAAGCAGTTACTTAATCCGAGGAGATAGATGGCTCTCACACATTTACCCTTACACTCATCGTAAATAAGTTTCATTCATAAAATGTGATAAGACACGAAAGACAACATGAAATTATAAAACGTTTAAACTTAGTTTTCCTTTGTGAATTATTAACCTAAACACCTATTTTTTTCTCCAGATTAGTCCTTGGCGCACTGATTACTATGCAGTACGTACATCACATGCATATCGGTGTCGCAACAGTCTACTGATCATAAGCCTGGTTTAGCTGTGGCTTATAAGGATCCATACAATGGAAAAACTGGAGTGATTCCTGGCCAAGGAAACAGGAAATTTGAGAAAACCTTCAAGTGGGATGGCAAGTGGAAAAGTCTTTCCTGAGAACAATGTACCCGGCTGTGAACAATTCTGGTAACGATAGGATAATAAGTAATTAAGGACATAGGAATCGACTTGTTTCTTAGAAGAACCCGAGATCAGCGCTAAAAGACCTAAAACGAGCTAATAAAACGTCCATTTTGAAATCGGAATGATCGCAGACGGCAATCACGCATTTCTAAGCTGGGTGGAGAGTTTCGCGCGCTCCTCTCAGTGCTTGTTTTACTTTCACGTCCAGAGGTGTGGTTGCAGTCGAGAAGTCGACTAGTCATTCCGTGCTCGCAAGTTGGAAACCTATCCTGTTGGACACAGCACGCAGGTATCATGAGTACCATGCGACAATCCACTGGAAACATGAGTCCGGATGGAGTGTCGGAATAGGGTGGCTGATTTCTGACCGTTCCTGTACTGCCTCAGCGCTTCTGGCTCATATGGACCCCCCGAGGACTGTGTCTGTATTCAAGCTGGGGTTGCAGGTTGTCGTTTCTGTTGTTGTCAAAATTGTAATGAATAAGCATTTGATCTGGGTTTTTCGAGAGCTAGTTGTACTTCAGTCTCAGTAACTTGGAGGAAGGAAGAAATGTCGACACAATATCCGCGGATTGTATGATCAACAGCGAATTGGATCAGTAAATTTATTAATGTTCATATATAGCAATAATGCCATTGGCTATAATGAATTGATGTTATATTTTTTGCCTCTAGAAGCACTGACAAGGTCAAGAGTAGTTTTTATGTCGAACTGATTAATACTTCACTGACCTAATGCATGACATGGATTAAGACTGGCTTGGAGTCTTTCTTACGTCAAAGTGGACTGGTGTGCTCAAGCAGCGTTTGCATGTTGTCTTTCTCTTTTCTGCATAAAGAAGAAATATTTAGTTATTGGGTTACTGCCGGTTATCGAGAATTGGAAGAACTTCTTCATGAAAAGAAAATTTATGGATGGTGCTGAATACGCTAAAATTTGTGGGTTTGTAGTTAAGTTACTAATTGTTTTCTTTTGTTGTTTCTAAACAGTTTATCGCATGACTTGTTATGAATTACAAACGACAGGAAAAAGTTTCTTGCTGTATCCTCAGGATGTTCTCTACGAGTGAAGCCTGTGCGATTTCCCGACCTCAACGAACAAAGAACTTGGCTAATATCCAACTCTCTTGACCTTACCCTTTATTCAATAACCTATATGTAATGCTATGTTGGACTATGCAAAACAATGGGGAATATCTAATCATGTATGGTCCTGTATACGTAGGACTTTGTAAGGTTTTGAATGACAATGTACTTTAAATTTATTTCTGGAATGTAACCAAGCTTAAAGTTTTGGTTATATATGGTTATATGAGTTTACTAACAGCTTTGTGTTGTCAGGAAGACGTTATAAGAGCTCTCGGTTGGGCTACTACAGCTCAATTGTATGAAAATGTATTGTTATGTAGAGCTATATAGGCCTATGTGTGGCTGTGTCATGCTCAAGCGTGAAATTAGCGTGAAAAATAGCTTTCTATGACTATTTCTAACTTTTGATTGGGCTTATACCACGTTTATTCCAGACTCAATCGAAGCCTTGTTATGGGTGTTTGAATACTCCGAACTGTGCCTAAACGCATTGTAGAACTGGAAATGAAGACAGGAATTGCACTCACGGTATCATTCATCCATTTAAAGGTCTGATATTTTGTGACCTTCGGAAAACTTCGAACATCTTGGGTAACCTCCGAGAAAAAATGGAAACGTGGTCGAACATCTTCGGTCATCCGAGTAATTCGGCAAATCGAGCACTGTCAAAGCATGCGAAGAATATCTTCAGAAATACGACTTATCCAGCAAATCGAACATCATCGAAGAAGTCAATATTTGGAAATCCGACTAATTCGACAATTAGAACATCTTCGGTAACCTTCGATAACCTCCGCGAAAATCAGAGTAATTCGAAAAAATCGAGTACTCCCAAAGAAATTCGACTTATTTGGCAAATGAAACATCTTCGGTAACCTTAACAAGAGTCTTTCAGCCAATACCATCATGGCTAAACTGACCAATCACTTTCAACGGACCAGATCGACTTATAACACAATCGACTGACTGGCAAGTCGAGCACTGTCTGTCGCTTTCGATCGAGTGGTATATATACCATGGAATATCCCACGAGACACCTGTATCTTCGTGGTATACACACTCGCCTATAGGCTTGTGTTTAAACCAAAAAAATTGTGTCTCGTGGAATATAATTATTCCATAAGGGGTCACTGTTCAACTGTTTTGTTACTTTCCGGAAGCAAAATTCGCACATTGTCCATGTCATTTGGAGCCCTAAAGAACTCAACTCAAGCAAGTAACTGGTAGCGCTGTAGCCCTTCCTCCCCCTCCGCGGTCCCTGACTTCATTTGTGGTTTTGTACATATCTTTCAGTAGCCTGAAATGCCGGTCATCTCCCACCCTCAGCTTAATCCCCTGGCGATTAGGCTGAAGGCGGAAGATGACTGACAATTCAGGGCAACCTTTCAGCATCCTCGGAGACCCAGGGGCAGTTAGAAAATATCGCGTCGACCGAAAATACCGCGTCGTCACGATTAAGGTACGTTCCTTTGGGGTGATCTGGATCAGGATCAGTGATCCAAGATCACTCGGATCATGGTGCATCAAAGGAACCAATAAATCCACTCTGGTCACGGATTCATCGGTTCCTTTGATGAACTATGATCCGAGTGATCTTGGATCACTGATCCTGATCCAGATCACCCCAAAGGAACGCACCCTAAGTCTAACTGCCCCTGGGTTTCCGAGGATGACGTTTCAGCCACAGGTTCCAAGCGCGAGCAGCGGAAAGCCACTTGAGCCGACTGTACGAGAGGATGACCAGCAGTTTCCTTCTCAAATTCAAGATGGCGGACGGTGAGTAACCGTCGTGCAACGAATGTTGTTGTTCTGTTTGCACAAAGGGTGTATTTATTCTTTTTGTCTTTAAAGTAAAACTAGGCCGAAGTTTGAGTCCCTTTATGTTATTTTTTCGAATAAAATTCCAGCTTCCTTCACGGAAAAGGGCTGGAAAATGTACCCAGTCACGGTACACCGGTACTTCCTTCTCTCTGAAGGTTAAAGACAAACTAAGACTTAATTTGTTATTTGCATGCTTAGCGACATTGTTGGAACTGTCCTCTCTCTCTAGAGTCCAAGTAGGCAAGTACAGCAAAGGCGCTGACTGAAATTCTCTCGGAGCAAACTCCATCAAGCACGTGATTCTAGTTTTGTGCGGTATACATGTAGGATCGGAGGAGTTGGTAAAAGTGCTGTTTACGACACAGATAGCATGGACTCTTTACAACAAAGGAAAGAAGGTAAGCTGAAATCTTTGCGTTCAGTCATTGATTCATGATCATACGCAGTAGGAGGGTTGGGGGGAGGGAGAAGCTTTATCAGGCGATTTTCTATGTTTGGGATTGGTCTTGTTTTCGTGTTTTACGTTTGGGTTAATTGTTATCAGAATATTTACAGTACTGACCACATGATGTGTGAACTGGTGTCACTTAGGGAAAAATTCCGTCTTGGATTCAAAATGTTCACTTTGCCTTCCCCCTAGCACCTTCTGTCTTTCTCCCCCCTACCCCAGAGTCATCCTGATGAAAATCTGTGGATCTGCCACAGTGGTAACAGGGAGGCTGTGACTAAAGGTGGGACGGGGACTTGGGGACTGGGATGTGGGACGCGTGGACGTGGGGACTCGGGGACATGGGGACGCGGGGACGTGGGGACACAGGGACTCAGGGACATGGGACGCGCGCATGCGTGGGGACTCGAGGACGTGGGACGTAGGGACTTAAGGACGTGATAAACAAACAACACCTGATTTTTGCGCTGAATTTGTAAAATACAATTTTTGGCGGTCAAGTGAAAAGTAATCTAATATGCTGGAGAGTTTGTCGGCAGACCAGAAGCTGATGATCCCCAGCATATATTAAGGACCAGCACCAACGACGACGAACCCAGAGGACAATGACCGGAAGTAGAATTTCCCCTTACCATGTTACTATGCGTGCTCAACTCTTCCTCCATGTGAAGTTCAGGACGTCAAAACGTCAGGTTTACCGTCCTGAGTGAACATGAGTATGTATTAATCTATTTAC